TTACAAGCCCTAGACTCATAGCTACACATACAAAATCATCATCTCTTCCATTCATCACTTCGGTAATAACTGTTAGGAGATATAGACTTGCTGCTGACATGTAAATCATGGAGAATTTGCAAACAAGAGCTTTTTCGATTTTTCAATTTGCCACATCTCTTTCTAATATGTGGTTTTTTATATTTATGCAAAATCATTTTGTGTACAGGTTTCCAAAATTGATGTACATTTGGATGCAATAAAATGGAAGCAGACAAGATTAATGTTCTTAATGATGTTATTCTTTGTCTGTAACAATGAAGAATGAAGGAAAGGGGAAGAGTTTGATGCTTTAAACATTCATTGTTGTTGGAGTGGCGAGACAAGTTGCAATTGCACTCGTGGAAAACCATGGTTGAGCTAGAGTGTTTGTGAAGTACTAGTAAGGAAAGAGAGAAATAACAATGGCGGTGATTTGGCGATGAGGTTGTCAATGATGGTGACGAGGTTGGTGGTGTTTGGTGATGTGGTGGTGTTGGTATTTGTGATGGCGGTGGTAGGCTATAGTAGGTGGTGGTGGTGGTGGTGTGATGGTGGTTTTTTCATTAATAATTAAAATAAGTAAATAAGTAAAAGACAAATTTGACTAAAAATACATATTAGTGTAAAGACATAGGGACCAAAACTGTAATTTACTCTACATTTTATAATGTTCCAAATCATCTTTATAAAAAAAATTGACAAAATTGCAAGAATGACCCATGTGGTATGTTGAAAATTGACACTTTGGGTCAAACATGTTTGGACTAACATCAAAAGCTTCCTTTTGATGTGAGTTTGGTCAATTTTGTTTTGATTTTTTTATAAAATGACGATTTTACTATTTGTATTTTGTTTTTTCACTTTTTTTATTACATAAATCGAAATAAATTATATACCTCTCTCTCTCTCTCTCTCTCTCTCTCTCTCTCTCTCTCTCTCTCCAACAATTTAAAAAAATAAAAATTAAAAAAAAAATAAAAAAAATAGATACCTCTCGCTGGAAGCCATCGTATTGTCGGAACCATCACCCTCATCAGAGCCTCTCGCCGAAGCCGCCAGCCTCACCAGGCCATCTATGTCTCGCCAAAAAATAAAAATAAATAAATAAATAAACTTGTTAATGTTTTCGTTGGAGAATGAGTGAGGGTATCGGACAACGATGCGCTCTCTCTCTCTCTCTCTCTCTCTCTCTCTCTCTCTCTCTCTCTCTCTCTCTCTCTCTCTCTCTCTCTCTCTCTCGCACGTAATCGGACCTCCGTCAAAAACCACTAGACCTCAACGCACCATAATCGAACATGCAATCTGTTGGATATGTTATGTATCTCTCTCATCATCGACGAAACCCTTAGCAAAACCCTAGCCTCTGCCCCTTCCGTGCCGCCCTCGGTGTCGCTAACCGACAGCGGCTCTACAAACTCTAGTAGAGACGGCGACTTGTGGTTTACAGCACCACAATCGACGAACAACACCATTTCAGGTTTCAAACATCTATGACCACCTCCTATTATCGGGTTTGTAAGAGAGATGGCGGAAGAGGTGACATTCCATCTGAGAGAGAGAGAGAGAGAGAGAGAGAGAGAGAGAGAGAGAGAGAGAGAGAGAGAGAGAGAGAGAGAGAGAGAGAGAGAGAGAGAGAGAGAGAGAGAGAGAGAGAGAGAGAGAGAGAATGACTTTCCAGATCCAACGAGAGAGAGAGAGAGAAAGAAGGGGGGAAGAAGAAGAAAAATGACGTTTCAGATCCAAAGAGTTTCAAATCCAACAAGTGGCATCCCACCTCAGATCTTTGAATCAATTTTTGGATTTTGTGTGTGTGTTAAATCTATTAAAAAATCAATGGATATTTATGTTGATGTGTGTTCATGTAATCTGATTTTGTATGTATGTGTTCATCGGATTTGATTTTCTATATGGTTTTTGTTTCTAGGATAGTTTTTTAGCGGATATGAAATCGCAAAAAAGATTTAGGTGGAGATGGAGGTGGCAAACGATGAAAGTGGCAGAAGATGTTCTTGAGTGTTCTTGAATCTATAAATATGTTCTTTTTTTTTTTTTTTGAAAGAGCCAAAGCTAAGCAAACGTATGAATATGTTCTTAGGTGTTTATCAAACACACACACACGGAGAGAGAGTATTTTATTTTATTTTATTTTTTTCTGTAATAAGAAAACTGAAAAAAGAAAATATAAAGGGCAAAATCATAATTTTATAAAAAATCAAAACAAAATGAACCAAACATGCAGCAAAATAAAACTTTTGGATCACTGATACTAGTTCAAACCTGTTTGGCCTAAAATGACAATTTTCAACGAACAATAGGGACAATTCATTCTATGTTTTAGACATGCTTCGCTTCCCAAGCTTCAATTCATCTTTATGGCCTTCCCATTTATACTCTTTCAGCACACTATCTATCTATTTCAAAAAAAAAATACAATATAATAACTGTATGTGAATATACAATTACTTACAATGAATGAAAAATTCCCTCAAAATTGTGTAGAAAAAACTAACTTTCAGAGATTCTTGACCCCATCTGCCTCTCCCCTATTCTTCCCAACAGCAACAATTTCATTTTGCTGCCAAAAGACTTCCAAAACTACCTGCAAACACAATCAAATCATGATTTTTTTTTCAAGAAAAATAGTAAAATTTAACTTTAACACATGGTTTAAATCTTTAACTATTTTCAACTATCTAAAATACCCTTCAAGAAAAACTCAGAAACTATTGTGTACTAAAATAACTACTATCTATTATTTACTTGTGTAATGATGACAATGGGCAAATAAGCAATTTTGACACGAGAATGATCGAATCTTTTAAATTAACAAACATGTTGCAATTATAAAGAAATCTCAAAATAACATGCTGAAACTAACAACAAACCATCACATACCAGATTCAAGAACTGGGTTATGCTGAAAGATGATGGAATCCTGATGATTAGGTGGGATAGATTAGAAGCTTCAATATTTAAAGAGGGATGATTAGTAATCAAAGGTTTCCTTAGATAAATAACTTAACAAAACATACATAATTTGCATAAAACTCACACTTGGTAATCAATGAGATTCATGTCGCCTCTTTGAGTGGATAAATCCCATATCTGTGATAAAAAGAGATACAAATAACACTTATCAGTAAGTATCAACAAAGATACATTCATAAGTTCATGAATGCTCATTAAACTAACTTCCACATTTGATTCTTGTAATGTAAATATGAAAATGATAAGATGTATACTTTACCTTAGTTTGAAGATTGCAAAAGTCTTGATCCAAATTTATACGACTTCCAATGTGTTCTTGATCCACAAATCATAATATCCATGTGCAACAAGATGCAATCAAGTAATGAATTTCTCACTTCTTGCTTCAAACTTCAAACCCTAATCACTAACACCATTCACAATTCGTCTTCCAACCATCTCATTTTGCAATTCCTCAGCTTCTTTTGTATCACCAATCTCATAATACTTTTTCACAAGACACCCATAAATCACATCATCTGGACAAACACCATTCACAATCATCTCATCATAAAACTTTCTTGCTTCCACCATTTTACCACATCTACAAAGCCCACAAATCAAACAAGTGTATGCATGAAGATCAAACTTTACACCATTTTCCACCATTTTGTCCCTCAATTCCAAAGCCTCATTAACATTCCCATGTTTTAGATTCCCATCAATCAAACACGTGTATGCATTTACATCTGGAATCACACCCTTTCCCACCATTTCATCAAACAGTTTCACACCTGATTCTAATTGATCATTTTTACAAAAACTATCAATAAGAGCTGTATAAACAATAACATTAGGCTCAATTCCAACATCTGACATGTTACAGAAATGATCCATTCCCTCATGGACATATCCAAGTTTGCACAAACCATCAATTAAGACACTGTAAGTCACAACTGATGGGGTCAAACCTGTTTCATTCATTTCTTGAAACAAATCAAGAGCTTCTTTTTTGTGTCCTGATTTAAAATATGCATCCATAATTGTTGTATAGATCACAAAATTCGCATTTATACCATTTTTCTTCATTTCTTGAAGAACAGCCTTAGCATCTTCAATCTTTTTGTCATTACAGAGTCTTAGGATCAAAGTACCATATAGCAATAAGTCTGGTTTGAAGCTTTTGGCTTCCATTTGTTCCCAAATATTTGTAGCCTCACTTACGTTATTCAATTTTATATACCCATGAAGAAGAGTTGTATAGCTTTTTATGTTAGGTGATATACCGGTTTTAAGCATTTCTTGAAAAAACACATCAGCTTCTTTCATTTTACCTTCTTTTGTAAGCCCATCAAGTAAAGCTGTACATGTAACTGTGTTCACCATAACACCTGCCTCATTCATCTCTTTGATTAACTTCACAGCCTCCTGAATACAACCTGATTTACAATTTGCATCAATTAAAGAAGTATATGTGAATTCATTGGGAATAAGACCAACACGTCTCATATCCATGAAAAACTTGATTGCTTCTTGCATCATTCCTTCTTTACAGAAAGCATCAATGAATGTGCTGTAAGTTACCACATTTGGTTTCAATCCACTTTTCTTCATGTGATGAAGAAACTCAAATGCTTGTGGCATTCTACCAAACTTACACAAACAGTTTATCAATGCATTGTATGTGATCACATCAGGGTAACAACCGATGTTCTTCATATCATTATATATACAGATTGATTCGGTTAACTTCCCAAGCTTACCATACCCATCAATAAGTGAATTATAAGTAACAATATCTGGTGTAATCCCTAATGTTTTCATCTCCATGTAAAATCTTTGTGCACCTTCCATGTCTCCTACTTTACACAAATAATCAATCATGATATTGTAAGTGAATATAGAAGGCTTAACACCAGCCATAATCATTTCCTTGAAGAACTTCTTTGAGAAGTCTCCTTTACCAATCTTAGTTAATCTACCCAGAAATGAATTACAAGAACGTGCTTTTGGGAGAACTTTATGAGATTTCATCCTTGAAAAACACTCATTTGCTTCCTCAAATTTCCCTAATTCCACTAATACATTGAACAATGTGTCAAATACCCCCCACCCTGGACGACAAGCATTTCTGGTCGACCACATTACATCAAACACATCAAAACCTGGCAAAACTAGGGTAGAACTAAGCAAAGCTTTTAGAATACCATGAGCTTCATTGTAAAGCTTATGGAAAAACAAAATATGGGTAAGAATACAATAGGCCTCAGTCGTATGACAAAACTTAGGTCGGGTTTCAGCCCATTTGAAGAACTTAAAAGCTAACGTAGGTTCTTCGTTTAGTTGTAATAGTATTTTCGAAACCCAAATTGGGGCTAAACTTGAATCAAAATATTTGATGATCCTATAATCGTCCCAGCGCTCATTCTTAACAATTTCACAAATGGATTCCCGACCAAGTTCGTCTCCGATTTCGTCACAGAAAGCCTTACTCGAAAAAGGGTACCGAAATAAGCAGAGAAAACTGGTGACACAGAATAAGAATGTGTACGATGATGGTGATGAACAGTTGCAGAAAATTATTTTATTAGGATTCAATGGAGACGGTAAATTTCTTGTTGATGATAATAGAAGGCTTACGCGATGATTAGGGTATCTTGTTTTTCTTCCCATGATGACAAGGCTGCGAAGAAAGACGAACATCGTCCAAGCAAACTAAAAAAGTGAACTTCCATTCATTGTTGTTTTAAGCGTACGAATTTGTACAGTGACAGTGTTGTATTGAGTAGGGATTTAGTTGAGGTGGTGCTGATGGAGATGGAGGTGAAACCGTTGACGACGAAGCTAGTTAGGGTTTTAGGCTTTTAGCCACCAGGGGTTCAAGAAGACAAGCGGCAAAAGGTTTTTCTCATTCCATTCTATTACTGTAAATACGGTTCGGATTTGACCCGTTTTTTAATAGGTGGGCTTATTTTGGGCTATCTGCTAAAGGGAGCCCAATATTTTATTGGAGAATGACAGAATGGTTTGTAACTTTAAAGAATAAAGAGTGTGAAGGTGAACTATGAAATATGAAGTTTGAGTCAAATATTAAAACATGGTATTCAAATTATTTTCAACATTCATTTTAGGTTTTATAAGTTAACTATTTCTTTAAATAATATAAAATAAGTATAGAAAGAGTTTTATAAGTTAACTATTTCTTTAAATAATATAAAATAAGTATAGAAAGAAACTTACATAAATATAAAGTAGAATGTTCTTTATGTAAGTAAAACCCATAAAATACAGTAAACTAAAAGAAAAGGTATAGCCGTATAGGTATGTATATATGGTGTAGTGAGTAACCTTCACAAGAATTAGAAAATGGCCTTTAGTGCCAACATGAAATAATGTTAAGGCCTTAAGGTGCTAAAGGTGAATCATAGGAAACTACCTTTAAATATTATTGCAAGATTGTAAAATTTTGGTCCTATGGTTTGTTAAATAATGAAAGTTTAGCTTAAAATGTTTTGGAGTTAGGTCCAAAAAGTTTATAACTTAGTTAGTCTAAAGTTATGTGAAAACATTTAAAATGACAAATTTATCCTTTTAATTTAGTTTTTTTGTTTTTTTACAACAATTAAATAAGAAAATACATCTCTCTCTCTCTCTCTCTGTGTGTGTGTGTGTGTGTGTGTGTACCTTATAAATCATCTTTAGTCAGATGTTGAATTTTAAGTCGTACAAGCCTTATGGATTGTTTACAATAATTTTGTTCATTGATTTGGTCGAAGTCAAGGATAAGAACCGCTCATGAAGACTAATTCATATAGACATCCCCGCAATTTTTTTGCGTAAAATATGGATAGACTCATTCAAATCCCCATGCCTATTCATCGGCTCCCCATCGCTTATATCTCCCATCTTCCCGTGACAAAATTCATAAAACCTTAGCATCCCTCCTTCAAGTCACCGCCATCATCATCATACACCACCATATTTGCTTTAGTCGCCATCATATACTTCCACTCTATCTTAGAAGACAATGACCAACACCACTCACCACCACAATCATCACCATCGATGCAGTCACAAAATCACCACCACAGTCATCACCATCGATGCATTCACAAAATCATTATCTAGTCTATCAATAGACAAGACTATTTTTTAAACCAAATTTGTGAGATATAAAGGAGTAATTGGCTCCAAAAATCGTACAAAATTTAGGCAGACAATTCGTTTAAGAGAAAGGTACCTGAAGTGACATCGGCTTCTTCTTTAGCAGCTTCCAGAATCATCTGGAAGGCTCTCGCCTTCGGCTTTGGTGGAATGTTGGGTTTAGTTGCCACTTTCTTTTTCAGGCAATCCCTCGAGATGTGCCCCTCCTCACCACACCCATAGTAGACTTTCTTGGTGATGGTGCATTCGTTGTCATAGTGCCCTGGGTTTCCATATTTGAAGCATGTGACTTCCTCGTCACATTTCCCATGATGCTTCTTCTTGCATTTGTATCACCATTTCGCTTCGCCTCCTCCACCTCCTCTCGAACCAGATTTCGATAATTTATTTTTCTTGTTGGACCCCGAGCGTCTGTCGGACTTCCTCTTCTCACCAACCTCTGACCTCTCCAGACCCTTCTCCCTGATCTGGGTCTCAACATTCTTAGCAGCCCAGATGGTGGCTTTCAATGTGGTTGCTTGCTTAACCATTAGGCCAAAGTCCACTGGTAATACGCGAGCAAACTTATTGACCTTAGAGAGCTCAATTGGAACTAAATATGGAATAAGCTTCATCTTTTCTGTAAAACTAGCAGCGTATTCAATAACGCTCATTCTTCCCTTCTTCATATTCTAAAACTCATTATTGATTTCCAGAAGGTCCTGCTCTGAGCAGTATTGCAATTTCAGTTGCACCATAAAGTCTTCTAAGACATCTTGCCAACTTCTCCCTTGGACATCGAGTCAGCTAACGGCTTCCACCAACTCAACACTCCATATTTTAACAAAGGGATCGCAAGAGCGGTCTTCTGTCTGTTGATGCATTCACAACTTTCAAACATTGTCTCCATTTCAGATATCCAGTTTATAACTTCCACCGGCGTCGGGCTTCCGGATAGACATGGTGGTTTAGATGCCATGAAATCCTTGTACTTGCACCCACGCCCATCATTTCCTCCCTCCAGGTTGTTCTGCCTAACTAACAGTGGATCGGCTTGACCAATAATCCCACTGAAGTTTCCTCCTTCTGACTACCCTCTATTCACTTCGGGCTCTTCAATCAGGATTGAAAGTTCTTCATGATTTTGTCGAAGTAGACGTCTAGTTTCTTCCATCTGATGATCCAACATCGTTTGAATCATCATTTGTACTCTAGCCATTGTCATTGGCTCAGGTGTTGTTGCTACAATAACTACTTGCTCAACCACAGGTGGTTGATTCCTGGTTTCGTTTGCGTTTCCAACTCCACTCTTGTTCTTGCCATTTTTTATATATACACTGAATAGGGTGAATTTAGATCCCCATTCACGATTGATAATTAAATCATTCATATCACCACGAAACGTTTACATGCTAGTTCTAATATTGTTAACATACGCTTAGAAGCCTAAACACATAAGGTCTCCAGATCCGGTTGGCAACAAACCATAGATCCAAACAAATAATTTCATATATGGCAATCATATAATATTTAGCACATAAAAGCATTTTAGGCATCTTTCCTAATATAAACTAGTGCTCGTGTCTTAAAATATAACTGGCATTTATCTCACAATCTTCACTTAGCATTCTAAGTTTAAGTTTAGAAATCCTACAAATTCCTAGTTCACTTAAACTAATGCTTTGATACCAACTGTTACATCCCCAAATTCATGGTCAAAAAAGACCGGTTTAATTTATGCTTTTAAAATAATTTCAGAGTAATCCTTTGATTAAAGAGTAAATTACTGAAATCATCTGTGTGGTTTGGTCAAAATTGCATGTTTGGTCCCTAACTTTTTACTGCACTCAGATTGTCCTTATGGTTTGATTTTGTTGCGTTTTTCGTCCTTACGGTTTGGTCAAAATTGCACGTTTGGTCCCTAACTTTATGTATGTAAAGGACGGAAAACGCAACAAAATCAAACCAGGGGGACGATCCGAGTGCAAAAAAAAGTTAGGGACCAAACATGCAATTTTGACCAAACCATAGGGACGATTTCAGTAATTTACTCTTGATTAAAAGAGTTGCGGAATTTGTTCCCAAAACACAATATGATAAAATAAAGTTTATCAAAGAATTTCTTACAGAAATGTATTTTCATTATATAACAATACTCGGGATGTTATGTTCCGATACAAACCAAAAGTATAAACAGTACAACATAGACATTACAACAGTTATTTACAATTACTGGTTTATAAACAAAATATCTTCACAAGTTGTCCAACTTATGCTCTCGCACCACTACTTGTAATTCAAAGTAACTAAGTGGGTCAGGCCTGGGAGCATGGTGAGCATATAGGGTTTTCAACTCACAATAAATAATTTATTAAGTTCATCAACCAACAATAACCCGATTACCCATTCCCGTTATCCTCACTTTACGACCTTAAAACAACTATTATAAGGGACCTAATGTAGGATTTTTCATCGGGATGGACACTACTGCAAATGGGTTTCCTCAACAATAAAGGTCCTAAAGGAAACCATGTGGGGGATAGAGTACATCGGTGAACACATTGCTCACAATACCTACAAGTTATGAAGCTGTCAGCGTTCCACTGGACTGTCTAGAAAAAGTTTGTGGTCGTCATCCATACTCTGCTAGATGACTGGTTCAACAACCACATCGAGGCCTCTCATCATTTTATCACACATCGACTATCTACCCATGTTTTACCCAACATTATGTAATAAAAATATATACATATATACATTCATATACAACTTAAAACTTGATAAGATATTCATTCCATACACATTCCACACAACAAATAATACATATAAATATATACACATAACATGTATTCTATAGGAGATACTTCATATCTACGTGTTAAAAGAAAGGGAATATACCCTCACTCAAAACATATACTTAATACACTCAAACAATATCTATATTAAAATTGTGTTTATGAAAGAGACTATGCACTCACTTGATAAGACAATGATTCGACAACACTACGGCTCTTATAGTAGTATTCTTTGATGAAACCGGCATATCTTCACACATCGGGCTTCTCGCGGGCAGAGCTTCGGCTTGAAACTCTTTTCTTCTCGGGATCTTCGGAGCTTCGGGACTTGCTTCGGGATGATATCGGGGGCTTCGGGGGTATTTCAAGATGGCTAGGGTTTTCACCCGAACACACGAACCCTAAAAGTTAGGGTTTTCACCCGAACACACGTATGCCCAGTGTACATATGTACGCCCAGCGTACTAGGGCGCACCATAGTACGCTTAGCGTACCACATGTACGCCCATTGTACAATTCAAGCCCCCAAAATAATCACCAATTTTCTACTAGGCCTTCTTAGGGCTAATTACAATCAATTCCAAGGACCAAAATGATATATTTAAATACCAAGGGGAGGAATCAAAAAATACATGAAAGCCCGGGATGTTACACGACCAGACCGGACGCAGACCTAGACCTTTTTTTTGAACCCCCAAGCTAGTTCTCGGTTCTAGGATTTGACCAAAACCGGTCCGATTCCGGGTAAAAACTGGTTTTGGACCT